GAGAGCCCCTCAAAGGCCCCCTGAATGTTGTCTCCCTCCAATACAACACTAATTATCTTCTGTCCTCTGACTTCCATGGAGCAGAGGAAGGAGCATCTGTCTCTTCTGATATTCTAAGAAGGTGGATATCAGACTGGAAGGTCTTCCCTGATCAAACAGCAAAATTCTAAACACATTTTTCAATTTTCCCACGTATACCCTGATTTACGGGAAAGCCAAAGTTTGCTGCAAAGTCTGGAGGTGAATTTGTTTAAGAGAGGTGAAATGAACACTGTTGGCTGGCATTCTCATCTTTCTCATTCCTCATAGGACCTAGATTTCATTCATTATCTCATCCTCTCTCAAACAATGCAAGTGCCCCAAAGTCAACCGACCCTACCCCCTCGCTCCAAGGGTGAGCCTGAAGGTCTAAGACGTGGTTCTCAACTGGAGGTGATATTGCTCCCCAGGGATGTTTGGCACTGCCTGGAGATATTTTGGATTGTCACAACTAGGGGGAAGTCCACTGGGTAGAGGCCAAGGACACTGCTAAACATGTTGCCATGCACTGGACAGCCCCAACAATACTATCCAACCCAAGAATGCCTGTAGTCCAATAGTAGAGAAACACTGGTCTAAGGGTAATGGCATCCCCCTTCCCAAAGATTGATTTAAGTTTGCAAGAGTTTCTTGGAAAGTTGTTCCTGGCTTCCAGAGGCCACCTTCCTTTCTGTTGGGTATGGTGGTGGACTGATGTGACATCCGGAACTGCCACTGTCATCGTGCCCCCCCTGGGTTATGCCCTCCTGTGTATGTGAAGACAAGGTCCATATACACAGGAGGGCGTAACCTCTGGATAAAGCTGACATTGAAGCTTATACCACCACTCTGAACTTCCAGTTTTGTGAGCCAATAAATAATCCTCATTGTATAAGCCAGTTTTGACGGAGGACTTCAACTACCTCTATTTTTACTTCAGTCTGTACTTCCTAATTAAGTTCCTTCCAGCTTATCTCTTAACTCACACAAAAGACTCTGCAGGGCAAAGCATCCTGTGATGGGAACCCGAAATTACTCCCTCAAGCAATAACCACTGCCCCGAGCCAACAAGACCCCACGTGATTGACTCCAAGACAATGATCTACCTGAACTTCACTGCCTACCGGCACGTACCCGCCCACCTTTGTCCCACATTCTCCTTAAAGAAACCTAGAAGTATTTTCAGCACTTTGGAGACAGTCTATGAGACTCTAGTCTGTGGTCTTCCTGGTGTTGGCCTCACTGAAATAAATTCCTTTCCTGTTTCACCACCACTGTCTCTCGGCCTTCGAATTTTGTCAAAAGTGAGTGGCTGGCCTGCTTGGGACACCTGCAGCCAGGTGCTGTTGCAGCCCTGTGCCCTCGTTACAATTTAAATTGGGTTTTTACAGGGGTGCCTGAGTGGCTCGGTAGGTTAAGCATCCGACTTCGGCTCAGGTCATGATCTTGCAGTCCGTGAATTCAAGCCCCGTGTTGGGCTCTCTGCTTAACTGACTGAGCCACCCAGTGCCCTGAAAAATGACCTTTGAGAGGGGTACCTGGGTGGCTCAGTCGGTTAAGCGTCCAACTCTTGGTTTTTGACTCAGGTCACGATCTTGGTTTTCGGTGTCAAGACCTGTGTCAGGCTCTGCACTGATAGTGTGGAGCCTGCTTGGGATTCTCTTTCCCTCTCTTTCTGCCCCTCCCCTACTCATGCGTGCGCGCTCTCTCTCCCTCTCTCAAAATAAATAAATAAAAATTAATAAATAAAAATTTTAAAAAGTAAAAAGAAGGGAGAAATGACTCTTGAGAGAAGATACTAAGGAGATGAGAGTGTGAACAAAACAGACACCAAAGAAAGGAAAGCATTCTAGGTTAAGGGAACAGCCAGTGCAAAGTCCTGAGGCAAGAACTCTCCTGGTGTGATGAAGGAATCACAAGAAGGTAGTGTGGCTAGGGTGGAGTGAATGAAGGGGTAAGAGGCATTAGGGGTGAGATCAGAAGTAAAGGGAGGGGCTTTGTAGCCATTCTATGAACTGTGGCTTCTACTTCCACAGGAATGGGGAACCACTGAGGGGTCTTGAGGGGAAAACCATAGTCTGGCTTAGATTTTAAATATCAGTTTTCTGGCTGTCGTGTAGAGATTAAGGATGGCAAAAATAAAAGCTGATGATTGCAGCAATGCCGTGAATCATGGTGATAACAGGTTGGAAGTAGTGGAGATGGCAAGAGAACACTGGATTTCAGACGTATTTGAAGGAGCCAACAGTTCCCTGAACAAAGTAGATAAAACACACTAGGAAAAAAATTGGCCTACAAAGCTATGAACACAAACCCTGAACTTCTGACTCCCCGGCTGCAAAGAAAAAGAACACCAGCCCTGGGTGTGTTAAAGGTTGACTTGTCAAGATGTATCACAATGTCAGGCATGTGGTTGAAGACAGAAGATACATGGTAACATACGGAGCAGTGTTAATATCCCCTGAACCAGACCGCCCCCAAAATTTCTGCTTCAAGTTGCTACAGATATGTCTAGATCAAGAAACAATCCTCACAAAGATTCTGAGAAACTCAGCATTCCCTACAGTGACAACCAAAGAAGAATCAAACCAAACTTTACAACTGGATTTTAAGGATCCCCATGATTAATTTAAATCCCCATTGCAGTACAATATGGACAAAAAGAGCTATGTTGCCATTATCTTTTTATTAGTATTGCATCTCATTTGAGAGAGCCTCGTTTACCCTCAAGACAAATCTCAAAAGCACATTCAGAATGGATGCTAGGCATTGGGGAACACATCGAAGAGAATGCAAATAAAAAATATTTTAAATTCTTAAAGGATGTATCCTCCAGTGATTCTGTAGAACTCGAGACACTTGAGGCCGAATTTTCCTCAACCAGGTCTTTTGTATAAAAATTACTCAACTGGGTGTGGTGACGCTACCGTCCCATAATAAATGTATTCATGTATCACTACACTCCCTTTAGACCCTGTTAAAAGCCATTGTCTGCCTGTCGGACAGATTATTGGCTAGATTCTCACGTCTGTTCAGACCCCAAAGCATCTAGATAAGGCATTATACAAAAGTAGCACCAACACGTTTTAAATCACCTTTAGCACAGACAGTAGTTAATAAAGGACTCTGCCTCATTAAGTGGTTTCCAGCAGCGCCCTTTACTTTACCATAAATACTATTTCCCCATCTTTAAAACGGGCATAATGGTATTTTCCTGGAGGACTTGTTGTGAAGATTAGAGTTAATATTTGTAAAGCCCTCAGAACAGTGCCTGACAATACCCAGGGCTTATGTGTCCATTATTATTCTAAGACCTTTGCTCCGCAGCATCTCATGGATTTAAATTTAAATGCTCCTAAAAAGCAGAGAGACCAAAACTGTCAACTTTTCTCAACACTCCCTGATTTTATTAGATGTTCGAGGCTTTCAAAGCATTTAGAACAAGACAGCAAGGAAGGTAACACGGTCAAAAGAAGAAAAGAAAAGGAACCCCGAGTTGTTTGTTAATGCCAGGTGTGCATTCTTCTTTCAAAATTTCGAGCATGGTTCTCCCGGATCATCCTTTGCGATTACACAGACTCTCGAAAACACGGTTTTGTGTTGTTCAGTAAAACAAATCCGTAGCCAGTCTAAGAAAAAAGCGAAGCATTTCCCTTGACCACACTGAGATCTGGGTGAACGGCTTAGATGCGGGCATTTCTAAGACCTCGCTGAATCGTAATCGTCAGAAAAACAGCAAGAGTCCTCACATTCAGGCTGCACTTGCCCTGCACTCGCCCGCAACCAAGAGCATCCAGGGGCAAAGCCGCGCCGCCGGCGCACGAGCCGTCCGGGCTCCGCGCCTCCCGCGGAGCACAAGAGGCTTGCTCGCCCGCGCCTCCCGGGTGCTAGCGAGGCCTAGGAAGCCGGCCCCGGGAGAGGAGAGGAGGGGCGGAGCGGGGCACCCCGGCCAGACTCGACGCCGGAGCC